TATATTTGAGTATGTTTGAAAGGGCTATATCCTATACACTAAAGATATGCAGAAAAATTACAAACAAGTTTACTACTCAGACTTTATATTTTATTAGGCAAAGTTAAAAGACAGTAAACAATAATTAAGAGAAATTCAGACAGATAATTACTCTGGAGGAAATAAAGCAGCTAAGTGGAATGGAGAGAAAGAATTGAAATATTAGAGACATTTTAAGTTGCGACAAATGAGGTGATGACAGTTGCAAAGTAAGATTAGAAATGATAGTAGCTTGTGTAAAAGAGGAAGAGAAATCCATGAAGTGTTGGGTGTGATCAGGCGGTAGTAGATTTTTCAGCTAGAAAAGAATAAGGCCCCGTGACTTAATAGAACACATATGGAAATGGGATTCAAACGTCCCGTTGACTTTCTGGGTTGGGAGAGCCTATTACTTTGGTGGGTTGTGACGTTAGTGCCTTTTTCCATCTGACCTTCCAGACAGAACTCTAACATTTAGATTCGACGGCAGGAAATTCTTTTTTAGACTCGTGTTCAATCCACAGTGGCCGACGTATCGCTGTGTACTCACCCTGACAGGGGTCAGTGCGAAAAGTGTGACCCTGAGGTCCCTGGAGCTAGGAGACCCCACAAAATGGCGAACTTCGAAGATGACAGCCCTGCCTTCCAAGTCAGCCCTGGAGCGAGGCTCTCGATGCCCAGGCTGTACTTGGTCCAAGTGATGAAGATAGGCGTTCTTTCACAGCAAGTCAGTTCTGCATCTGGCACTTGTGTTAGGTCAGATGTTAGGGCTGATGTGCTCTGGGTCACTCTGAGGTTAGACTTAGAAACAGGGGAAGGAAATTGTAATAATGACAGCTCTGAAAATCTAACCTATTGTTTCATTAAGGTCCATGTTATGGAAGGCATTCTGAAAATAGGACAAATATTATTAATTAGGTATTATAAGATAATTGATATAGCCAAATAAGTGATAAAGAGTATCACTTATTAGGCATGCATATGATAATTATGTATTCAGAAATGGGCCTTGACAATCTAACAGTTAACATATCTTTAAAATCTGAAATGGTGTGACTCTCAGTCACACATTTCGATTGTTTCAGCTTGAGTAAAATGAGAAAATGGTGATAATATGTGCAAATACCTTATGTCTTAAAAGTGACACAAATGTTTGAACATCTGATTGACTTAACCCATCTTTTTTTAGTGGAAAATATCGAGTGCAAATTATGTGTCGGGCATGACGCTCAGAGCTGGTTTTGCAGGGCTGCACATACTAGAGATTGTTTCTGCCATTATGGATCAGTATTCAGAAGTATTAGAAATAAAGTGATACAAATAGAAGAATCTTTTTAATAATCTAGAGGCATTGTGGCCAGAAGGGGG